CCTGCAACAATCTATTTAACACCATCAAACAACAACATCTGCCTATCCCAGGTCCTTGGAAAGGACTTGATAGGTGGATAAACATGCCAAATCCAGTCTAAACATCTGGCTGACTGTGCGACCAACAATAATAGAATTGTTTCAATAATAATATATCCTGGGATCTAGAATAGTTAAAAGTATTTTAATAAACAAACAATTAAACATTCCTACTGTAAGGAAGGATATATAGATTACTGACTCCAAACTTCTGAAATTATTTTGACATTTTTCAGGCATTTGGCTGCTACCTTTTTCTTATGTATATATTGTGTTGAAGTTACATATGAGTGAGCTTTAACCAAAATATTAAGTTTCATTTGCATGCTTGTTTAGATGCTTCTTCATATTCCTTTACTGTTTATGCAATGTTAATGTAAAACAAGATAGGGAAAGACTGCAGAGCACGGCTTCTGGGATTTTTTCCAACCTTTAATCGTAGCTCCGCCCTCAGTCATGTGACTAATAGAGAGGCAGGAGGGGGCTTAGAATGGAGGAGTTGGCAGCACTCTGAATCGCTGCCTAGCTGCTTCTCCCTTAGGGATACATTGGGGGAGATATTTATACTCTGTGTGTGTGTGTGTGTGTGTGTGTGTGTGTTTATTTGGATTTCTATTTCACTGGCTCCTGAAAATGGCACATTTTCAAACACGATCTTTCAATCGCTGGCTTCTCCCCATATCACATTTGGACCTGTTCTCTTCTATTTTCAGAGAGTTACGCTATTGATGGGCAGATAGATACCCCATTTATATCATTTCTTTCCAATGTTCTGTTGGATTGCAAATATATCAAAAGTTTATTATGAAAAATAAAATAGAATAGAGTGACACAGTCTTTATAATCTTTTTTCCTAGATTTATCGACATGGAGATAGAAGTCCTATCGAAAACTATCCCAATGGCTTACACAGTGAAAGTGAATGGCCACAGGGATTTGGGCAACTGACTCAGGTTTGTTGGTTTTCTATAGTAGTAAAGATGATAAACAGTACATATAATAAAGACGTGTGTTCTATAACTAACTTTTATTTATTGGCATGTAATAGTGACATAACCTTCTCCAACCCTGTGCTTTTCAGATGTGTTCAACGTCAGCTCCTAGAATCCCTCCTCAACATTTATTGTTCTGTTAATAATTCATTCAAAGTAAAAAATAACTAGGGCAAGATTCAGAAAGTTATTTTCAGAACATAAATTCATATTTTCAAAATCTGATCTTTTTCCCATACCAAATTGACTTTATGGGGAAACCCAGCTTTAAAAATTGGGAAAAAGATGGTGATATGGAAAAATTGGATGGAAGCAAGGATAATGGCTTTAGACCAACTGATAGATGAAGATGAATTTTTAATGTACTCTGTGTTAAGAGATAAATATCATCTATCAGATATAACCCAATGCCAATATTTACAGTTACAACATTTGTTAACAACATTGTTTGGACCAGTAGCATTTTCAGCTTCTGAGACACGTGATATTAGAACAACTTGTTAAATCCTTTAAAACTAAAAAACCTACTATAACTTAACCTACTGTTAAGAGATGTGTGGAATAAAGAATTAGAGGTTTCTATATTGCTTAGACAATGGGAGAGTGTCTTAACTTCTATAGCAAGAGTGTCAATGGACAAAAAATAATATTTAAAATTTATTGGATGCCACTACGTCTGAATAGAAAAGGATTGTCAGAACCAACATTTTGTTGGAGATGTAATAAGGACAATGCCTCTTTAAAGTATATGTTTTTACAATGTCCTATACTTATTAAGTTTTGAGAGAAAATAGTGGACTATATAAATATGATTGTGTGACAAAAGCTAAAATTTTGAGAGGATAGTATTCTTCTGAACTATGTACCTTGTACATGGAATTTGACATCTGGACAATGTAAATGGATTCTCCATGCCCTTACTATAGCCAAAAGACTGATATTGCAGCATTGGAAAGATAAATGTATGGCCCCA